CTCCCTACCTGTTTGTAAACAGCTGACTGCCCGTGTGCCTCCTGGAAAAGGCAAGGGGTCAGCTCAGTACTAGGAGCTGCAAGAGCTTCCAAACAGAGGAATCGGCTTCAGATGGCAGAAAACGGGGGCTTATATGGTCAGTCTCCTTGGCAGCCCCCCTTCCCATACCCAGCAGCAAAAAGGAGATGGGAGCACAGGTTGTGGGACACCTCTCTATGTAAAACTAAGGCTTGGACTCAATGATCTTAAAGGACTTTTCCAACCTAAATGATTCTATAAATCTATAATTTCATGTATTTGGGGGACACTTTTCCTCTTCTGTCCTTTCTCACTGCATTCAGACCTGATGGCCTTGCTACTGTAAAACATAGACCATGTACGTATATGTATGTGTTCTTTCAGAGCAGAGGTTTCTCGTGCTGTTTTGAATAGTAAACCAGCATCTGTGCTTGATAACACTCGCTGATTTTTTTTTTTAAAATGCTCCTGTTAGAAGCTGTGTAAAATCTTTCCATTTATTTCTATTGGACACAGATGCTTAACTTACACAGTATGCTAGTTCTCTGAACAGGGTTTGTTTTCTAAGCTCTCTGTTTGCTTCAGGATTTGGGGGATAAAACTTAGCTCCAGCGGGGAGGAGCTCTGGAGAAATGCTGTGGTTGGCACCCACTTGGTTTCACATGCGCTTGCCTGTGCTGGCAGCTACTCGCTAGTGGCACATAAACTACTCGTACGGAGCAGCAGACCAGCTCTCTTGTCCACACCAAGTATTAATATATCAAGTCATCACTCTGGAGAATGCCCTGTGCTAGACCTGCTTATCAGCTAAGGTTACATTCCATAACAGCAACAGAAAAATGAGCAGACAGCTTTTCTAATCAGCGAGGAAGTTGCTTACTCCTGCGCTGACTGTGGAAGCAAGGCAAGACTGCAGGCTGGCTCCTTTTGTTAGCAGTACGGCTGCAGCACAGCTTTCTGCAGTCCTATTAAAAGCTTTTCTCTCGCCACCTTCGCTCCTGAGTGTCCCTTGCACACAAATTTGGACTAGCAAGCTCTGCTCGATGGCTGATTCTGCAGTTCACCTTACAGAGCGCTACAAAAGCTCCAACCTCTTCCTAACTAGCTGAATGTTAAGGTGCTACAGTTGACCGAACACCAGCAATAGCTCAGCCTTACCCCAGCCGCGCCACGAACTCTTCTTCTCCTCTTGTTTTTCTTTCCGTCGTTCTTAAACTTTCACGTCATCTCTCCCCTCATCCTGGCTTGTGTCTCGCTCCTCGCTCGGCTCCTCTTTGCTCTGCTGCTGACAGCCAGCTGTTGTCTCTGCCTTTTTTTTTTTTGTTATTGGTTGTCCGGGAGATATGAAGTTTCCTGTTACATGTGTGCCAGAGAGGGAGGGCGGGCGGCAAGGAGCCACCGCAAGCTGAGCCAGCTGCTGGTGCAAACTCCCCGAGCGCCCGAGTGCCAGCGCTTCTTGCCTTATTCCTCTATGCATCTCCTCCTAGCCAGTTCTTTTCTTTTTTCCCTTTTAATTATAGCTTTCTGTGGAGTGAGACTTGAATTGATTCTCTCCTTGCGATAGATTAGGTGTGTGTTAAAGGAATTAACTTTTACGCTGCCCAGTTTCCTTCCGACTCCTGGGGGAAGGAGCTTTTCTCTTGTGTTCTTTGAAGGGGCAGAGCAAGGAGTCGCAAGGACAGTGCAGCACGGTCTGCCACGGACAGGGGAGCAGGGATGGTCCTGGGGTGGTGAGTTTGCTCCGTGCCCTCGGCCAAGTCATTTACTCTCTTAATGCCCTGGGTTTTGCTTCTTGTGTTGTGGGGACAGCTGACACCCACTGTCTTGTCTCAGAGAGTTGTTGAAGATCAGATGATTACAAAGGATACAGTCTTTCAGACAGGTGCAAAATGATAATTTCTCATCAACCTCATCATTTGCTCTTCTATTTGATAAATGGCTTTTGTTCAGCAACTGGCATCTATGTAATTAATTTGTCCTCATATTTTTTTTTCCTTTTTTAATACTTTCATTTCCTGACTTTATTCCAAGACTTGCTGGTTGGTTGATATTTTTTTTTCAGAGGGCTCTTCTGATGAGGCTGTATGCGCCTCTTTGGCTCATATGAGGGAATACTTTTTTCTGGTATATTTTGGGAGAGGCGAAGTTTCTTTTGGGATATGTGACTTTGCTGCTTCTCTGACTGTTCATCTGCTTCTACTGATTGCAGGAGTAGGGCTCCTGTTTTACCTGGTGTACAAAAGCAAGGAGTGCTGCAGGGAGGCGTGCTGCAGGCAGCCGTGTGGTCAGTTTTAGCACTTTCCTGACATGTCTTGCTGCAAACAAAAACATGTTAATAAACTTGATTGTTATTTGCTCTCCATCCTATCCCATGGTGTCAAATCAGGGTAGGATGTCTCAAATGAAATAATGATTTTATTTAGACATTTTAAAGACCAATGGTCAGCTCATGCATATTCCCGTTGAAGGATGGGGGAGGCAAATAATAGTAGCATATTTAAGAGATGAAATAATTTTAGGACATGTATAGTAATACAAACTACCATTAATTTACATAAATCGGCTCTCCATCTCGTGGGCATTAGTCAGGTGTTCGTGTGACTCGGGAAGTTTCCCCACCGCATGTTAATCCATAACCAACTATGTTTCAGGACCTCTTGTGTTCATTTAAGCATTAATCCAGTGGTTACCCCCAGCATCCCTATTGGTAACTGTGGTTTTGGCCTTTTGACTTTAATAGTGGGGCTGCAATTTCAGTTCTGCAAGTGAATTTCCGTTATGACCCAACCCGTGAGCACCATTGGCTAAAGTCGGGCTGCAGCCCCGATTTGTGTCATTCTGCAGGAAGACAGAGGCAGTTACAGGAGGCTGGATGGAAAGGGCTTGGCTTTACAAGCCTGACGGGTTAAAAACTAGAACTCTAAATTCCAGTGACTTCAGAGCTGATCTCTGCTTCCACCAAAGCCCTCCCTTGGGGCATCTCTCTTGTTTGCATTAAGGGACAGAGGTGTGTGCAGAGGTCCCTCCCCAGCACAAGCCTGGTGAGTAGGCTGTGGGAGCGAGGAGAGGGCTTGACCAGGACTGTATGCCTCGGTTAACTCTAATACAGATCAGTGCGTGTGAGCGAGAGAGACATGGACTAATGAGAATGCCTGCCTGTTTTCTTTTGGGGAAACAAAAAGCTGGCTTGCAGCTCGCTGACATTTCTATAGTCACGTTGCATTGGCAGGACAGGCAGCACCAGTAGTTCTTTTGGAAAGGCAGGACAAGGGGATCAAATGTGTTGTCCCCATCCCGGTCCCCCCACCCTTCCCCACCATGTGAAAGGAGCTCTTTGAGAGCAAGAGGAGAGCGAGTCAGTGCGGCTCTGCAGGGGGATATAAAGCCAGCTTTGTAGTAGCCCTCTCTAGGCTTTCAGTGCCCTGGACCGTGCAGCGCGACCTCACGCTGTTGCAGCCCTCCTTACCTGGGCAGCGCCAGGTCCTTCGTGCTTCAGCACACACATTTCATTGCTATGGTGACAGTCGTCTGTAACCTGCTGCTTTGCTGCTTCACTCGCTCTTCTCCTTGGTAAATTAACCTCCCAGGCCGTGGGAATGAGTGAGCCAGCTGCTGCTGTAGACCCTTGCAGGGTTGGTTTGTAATGCTTTGGTAGACACACAGTTATGCTCCCTGCAGACACACGCAGGCATGCACACAAGTTAAGAAGCAAACTCCATTTGTTAGATCTCTGGCAAGTTCAGACATGCCTTAAAGGGTTTATAATAAGAATAAATGAAGCGCTCACTCTCTTACTTTTCCCCTCCATGACCCACTTTTTGCAGATGAAGTTGGTGAGCCAACTAGGGCACTCCTTGGTAGAGAAGAAAAATCTCCACTTTGTTCTTCCTTGCAGTAAAATAATTCTTTTCTAAAATAACTCTTGCTGCTACTTGGCTGCAGGATTTGATCTCTAAATGCCCGATGAAGTGTTTCTGTGTGCCTAGTATCAGCATTTTGATTAAGAGACAACTGGCCACCTCTGCTGTGAAACCTAAGTTTTAAAAAGCTCTTCTAAATTGTGCCCGCTTTCTTAAAGAAAAAAAAAAAGTGACCACCTGGTTCTTCTTTATCTAGCAAAATCAGTGTCTTCACTGATTTAAGTTAGGGAGTGTTCTAGAATAGACATTACTTCCTGCCTGCATTGCTAATGAGCCTCTCTCTGTCACCAAACTCTTTTTTTACATACCCAAAAGCACCAATGTCTGCCAGAAATCTTTTGAAGGTTCCTGGAAGAATCTAATCGTCTTCAGATGGCTAGTTTGCTAAGGCTGGTAGAACTCGTCGTCCAATACTGTGTGAGCAAGTGGACTGGTTTTCATGGATGTGGGACTCTACCTGAACTTTGGCTGCTGATCTGAAGCATGCGTTAGCAGATCGAGACCCAGGCTGTATTATCTGAACAGTGCTCCCTTGTGACCTCAGTCTGGACTCTATTTCTGTGACTACATTCCTCTTTCTTCAACTGTAAATTTCTTCACGTTCAAACCACAAACAATAAAATTAGAAGCTCTCCAATGTGAAATATGCAGACACGCTCTGAACTCTGAGGTGTAGGGATCAACAGGACCTCTTTACACATTTACCTTAGCGCCATTCTGATTGGACATGGAATATATTTGGCCAACGATGCAGAATTAATAACTGCATGTTTCATCCACCGTGCCTTTTGCAGACCTCAAAGATATGAGAGCATTGAGCAGAAGAGATTGACACCGCTGTTTGTTTTACATGTGGGGAAGTGGAGGCAGAGAGACCTTAAGCAAGGCGCCAGGAACAGAACCCCAGTTCTGCTCCAGGGCTTAATCCGTGTGATTTCTGCTGAAATAGGCATTCTCTGCAAAAAAAGACTCAAGTCTTTATCAAATCACAGCTTGCATTTGGAGGGTGGCATTCTTGTCAACAAAAATAATTACCAGATCATTATTCCTTTTGTTTCCTAGATGTCGCCACGCTGCCATAGCGAAGTACTTTGGCGATGTCACCCCACCTTGTAACAAGTGCTGTGATTACTGCAAGAACCCGGGGGCAGTGAAAAGACAACTGGAGTCACTGGAGCGCTGCAGCAACAGCTGGAGCAAAACCTGCATTGGCCCTGCAGGTTCCTCCTGGGATAGCTATGACCCAGAGCTGTATGAAGGCGGGAGGAGAGGTTGCAGAGGTTTTAGCAGGTACGTACTTGGTAGCTCAAACTCAGCTCAGAGGAGCTATCAGAGAGAAGAGAGCATCTCCCAGCTGCAGGCCCAGCCACTCCTATTTTCAGCACATGTTTCTGTGTGGTGGTATTTTCCTGTAACTTCCTGGCAGCAGGAGCTGGAATTTCATTTTCCACACACTTTGGCAGCCTTGATCACATTCATGTCCCAGAGAGCCAAAAGCTGTTTTGACTGACCTAAGAGTTGCCCTGCAGAATGTAATCGGTTCGAGAAACTGGCCTGAAATCTTTTGAAAGCAGTAAGTTGGCTCAGCCCGTTCACAGTCACAAGGATCAAAAATGTTTAAACTGAGACCAGCGTGACAGCAAAGTATGACATGGTCCAGAGTTCGTTCCTGCCTTAGTAGGGCTGTCTGTGGGCCAGCAGGCTGGGGGGCCACTGGCAGGACGTAGTCATCACAGAGGATATAATGGAATGCCAGTGTCAGCTCCTTCTGCAGATTGGTAATTTTTAGTGTTTCCTTGTCAGGCTGACAGCAAAAGGAAGACGTGCAGGGAGAAACATGTTTAATTCTGTAAAATACTTGGCAGCGTGGAGATGACAACTGCTCTTCCTCCTTGTTCGCTGGCTGAGTTGCAGCAAGTGTGCAGCTCTGTCAGGATGCAATTTTGCTGCCTGCGCTGCCCGTGAAGCTCTGCCAGGGCGCACAGTGCTGTCAGCTGGCCTAGCCTTCTGCTTTACCTTAAACAGCTTGAGACTGGTAGCTTTGTTCTTCAGGCAGGTCCAGCTGAGTCAGAGGAAACTGGTGTGCTTTTGACCTAAGCCTATGTTTGATTTCAGGACCTGAGAAGACACGGCCAATGCTGTTGTACAGCACGCTGTTTGCTACTTGATTTATTGAACCTCTCCATGACTTGATTGTAGCTTTACCTTGGAAGTGGTAATAGTCAACAGCCTTAAAGCTCTGATTTGTGATACCTGTAAGTTTTGGCTGTGACAGCTGTGGAAGGCAGTAAACCCTTGGGCTACATCTGGTGAGAATCAGCCTGTGCATTTCAGTGTATTTAGTGATGGGAATTTCATTTAAACAACAGTCTCTGAACAGCTGAGACTGAGGAATGGATGCTTTGCCCCTTGTGCCATCTCTGCTCCAAGGGCAGTAGTGACTGACAGATGGGGTATGTGACACAAGGCAGCGACTTCTCAACCCCATGGGAGAATCTGGCAGAGCTTCTGAAATGGAGCCCTCCATTCTCAGAGCACTAGTTATGTGCTACTAGTTCATACTACTGCTTACTACTTCATGGGATTAACAAATCCCATGAATACCTCACTACTGTCCAGGTTGAGGGATGGTATGGAAACTAAAAGCTAAGACTTGTTCAGAAAGGATGTGAAATACATCATCTTTTGTAAATACTGGGATGTCCTGGGCTTTCCAAAGCCTGTCCTCCAGTTAATGCTGCAGCTACAGAGATGTTTGTTCCCCTTGTTTTCCTACCCTATCCAGGTATGATGAAGAAAGCAGTGGGAATGGGGACGAAGCTGATGAAGAGAGTCGGAAACGGGAATGGAACAACTTCTACAAAAAGCAGATGAGTCTGCGCAAAGTGAGTTGGTATCCCTTTGTAAGAGATTCACAGGTTGTTTGCTGTGAGCTTGTCTTACAGACATAAAGGCTTCCTGGCACTAATGAAAGTAAATTATTGCATCTTGCTGTTGCTTGTTCTGTGTTTTACTTTTTGTACCTATAATATGAAGAAGTACAGCTTATCCACGTACTGATTTCTCTGCAGTGCTAATCAAGAGGATCCTGTTGCTTTAATACCTCTGATATTAGTAAAAACAGATTTCCCCATTCAGCTTCTCTTGCATATTCCTATAGCAAAAGTGAACTTTTGGCTTTGATTCTCATTCTTTCTTTCCCCCATTTTGTTGCCTTTTCAGTACCTTTTTAACTTCAGCATTAATTTTCCCTGGAGCAGGGGTATAAAATGTGTCTTTTGTGCTTCTAGACCTGCATGTGTCTTGCAGAAATGGAAATGTTTGACTGATCTTTGTTTTCTTCCAGGGCAAAGAACCAGAAAAGGAAGATTTTGTTCCTCCAAGTAAATATCTTCTTTGATTTATAGCGGGTTTTCTTTGGGAGAAGAAAGTCTTGTATTTTGCAGCTGCATGTAATTTATATAGCAGCAACACTGGAGGTATCAGTCCCCAGGCACAGAGGTTAGGCTTTTGGCCGTGAAAGCTTGGCTGGAGGAGATGGATCAGAGCTTAGCTTTGGTTGGGGTGAAGATATGGAATGCATCTTTCTGAAAAACTTTTCCAAATAAGCAAGAGAGAAGGAAAACTCTGTTTAACCTGACTTTTGGGCTGTTTCTGCAGTGGTTATGCAGCTGTATTCAATTGGGTTATAAGGAAACTGCTGAAAAACTTTGCCATTTGTAACTGTGCTACTTGAGGCCCCTTACAGTTCTTAGACTACTGTAAAAGAATACCTGGTAGTTCATGTTACTTTATTCAGCCTCTTCCTTTTCAGTTGGTATTGCAGGGAGTGGAAAAGAGCTGAGTGTCCTAAGAGCTGGGATTCCTTGAAAAAGGGTTTCCTGAGATGGGGAGGGTTTGGAAAGCTGTTAGTCATAAACTAGCAAAGTAGACATTCTCATCCAGAGAGAAAAAAATCTCGCTTGGGCTTCTGCCTACTCTTTTGGAGTTTGTAGCTTCTCCAGGTAAAAGGGGTGACTGTAGTGGTCCTTGGGGTGACTGCAGGGAGGAGCATGCCAAGGAATACTGGACTGGTGCCCTCCCAGTGACAGTTCGAGATGTTCTCCATCAGCCTCAGCCCTGCTATGACACCTTTTCCAAATGCCTCTTCTGTGGTAGGTGCAGACTGTCCCTTGAAGGATGCCTTCAGCAGGAGAATCTCTAAGCTCACAGTGAAGGTAAGAAAGGCTGGTTAACACTCAAGTCTTGTTGACTTGCAAAGAACAACAAAGATTCTGCCTGCCCTGTTCTTACTCCTTCGGGGATGGAAGTCCACTGTGACTTCTGTAGAGCATGTCTGAGTATCCCGTGTTTCCTAGGGACGGGAACACTGCTTGAAGATGCTGGAAGAAGCTTTGAGCACCAATCAAGAGGTTCCAGCAGCAGGAGGAAAAGGGTATGAGATGAGAGAAAGGGGGTAGCGTATTGAGTCCCATAACACAGGGCCTACTCTTCCCTGAGCAACATTACCATTCTCAGGGAATGCCTTCTTAAGTTATGTGCTCCAAGGATGTAGTTTCACTTAACAGCGTCCTTGTAGCGATGTTCAGGAGCAGATAGGAGGATTCCTGTGTCCGATTCTGCTGAATCAGCTTGATCCTAGGACTCGCAATTCTTTCCTTCCCCACAAGATGGGGGTAGTGTACTTCTCAAACTGAGCAGCTGGACAAGAGGGCTCTGGTTTAAAACTGTTTTCACCAGCTTTTCCATTCTTCACCGACTCACTGCTGTGTCCCTTAGGACTTAATTGGAAGTATCGCTTATTCTTGCACGGGAGGGAGTGAATTCTGTACCTTCTGGGAGATGCTTGAGCATTAGTGTTCCCTTTGCAGATATAGAAGTGTGTCTTGTCAGAAATCACCCCAGCCTATATTACAGGTCAGATCCTCATGCCTGTGCTGTGGAGCTGGAGTACGAAGCTTTCCGAACCAGTAAAATGGCTAACTCATACAAGGCAACTGTACTGAAGAAGGTAGGGCCATACGTCTGCTGTTGTTCCCTTGAACGTGGTATGGCCTCAGCTCGAGGGGAATAGGGTAGGGTTTGTGTGGGAAAGATGAAGGAGAAGCTCTGCTTTGCCTTGGATGTCTTCCAAGTCTTTATTCTTGATTTTGTTTCCAAGAGGGTGCAGAATCACATTGGTTTCACATCTTTGTTGGCTTTACAGGCTCTGGAAACCTACGTACCAGTGCAAGCTTATCCAGATGTCTTCTAGGTCTAGCCATAAAGGGAATGGGATGTTCCTCAGACTGTTGCTGATGCTAGAGAAGCCTTGGTTTAGGTTAGCTGGTTGCCATAAGTCTCTCTGAAGATGTTTCTGTTCTTGAGATAAGTGTCTCTCCAGGGGAGACATTTGTTTTACCAGTATGGCTTTTGGTGTGTACAAGGGCAGGAACACATAAAGATTTCTGACCGCTGGAGAATATTTCTGTTCTCTTTTCAGGTAGCAGAAATCAACAAAGCCTCAAAACAAGGAGAGTTGTTCTCAGTCTTTGGGTCTGGAACTGGTGGCAAGAGCACCTTGGAAACAAAATCTGGGTCTCCAGCAGAAGAGGACTTCCTGCCTGCCTCCCAGGTTTACTCGGTGAGTGAGTACAGGTGGGATAGACAAGGAGGGAATGGTGTGCTTTTGTCTATCTGCTTTTTTATAATTTTATTTTAAGTCCTTTCTGTGGCCATAGCTGTATATTTCTATTGTAATTGCTTCCCCTGTCTGTCCTTCATTTTTTGGAGTGAGATCAACTAGCCATGCTGGTTCCTATTAGTGAATATAATCTATCTGCAGGCCATATGTTAAGTAATTTATTCTCATCTTGCTCTAACCAAGGATGCTGTCTCTTTCCTTACTGTGGGCCTGTGACTTTAACCTAATCCATTTCTCTGATGTCTCAGTTGATGGTTTATGATGATAAGTCAGGTTTAGAGCCTTCCCCAGCTTACGGCTGTACACACTGGTGTAATGTAGATGGACACTTAGCTCCTTTCAAGGTTCTGCACACAGAGCTTCCTTAATGCTCTCACATCCAAAATTTCTTCTCCTTCCTTTATCCCTAGTTCAAACCCAAGCGTGTGGGAGCAGGATTTCCAAAGAAATCCAGCTTGTTCCAGACTGCTTCAGAACTGCTGAAGATCCAGGAGGAGAGCAATGCAAAGCCTGTCAAAAAAGGAGGAGATTGTCCAAATAGGCAAGATGACAGCAACTGCAGTCTGGAACTGGACCTCAGAAACCCTGTTCTCCAGAAGAAAGAAGTAGCAACCAAAGCAAAGCGTGAGAGTGCTGGGGAAGTACTCCTTGCTGAAAAGAAGGGACAGCAACCAAGTCCAGACACAAAAGCTGTCCTTTGGGAGAGCCCTACTAAGAAGTCCAAACCTAGCAAGAAGCAGCAAATGCTCGCAGAAGCAGCTAAAAAAGAATCACAGGATATTTCCAAATTCTTTTCCTTCCCCAAAGGTGGGTCTAAAGCCAAAAATTGCAGCTCAGCAAAGGAAGATGTCTGTTCTGCAAGCACGCTACCTCAGGTTTCTTCTCAAAGAATGTGTCGAGAGAAACTCATACCTCAGGAAAACAAAGATGTCTCTGGAGAAGATGTGAGTGGACAGTCCCAGGCAGAGGATGAAGAACTGGGAGAGAGAGAAGTAACACTGACCGAGAGAGAGGAGAATTTTAAGACCCAGCAGGCTGCTGAATCTGAACTCTTTCAGGAAGAAATTGATGTAAAATCCAGGTAAAATCTTTACCTCTCTGCTCCCTGTGTCGCCCTGCTAATGAACTGCAGAGCCCCACCAGCCTTGTCCTGGAAACTGGGAATCTGTGTTAGATCTCTAGGCTGATGAGGGAGACTCTTGCTTTACCATGGAGAGTCTTATGGCCACTGAGTGAATGCAGTAGTATCTTCACTGTGGAATGATTAAAATTGGCCTTTTCTCCACTCTTCCCACTAGCGTTGCTGAAAATGTTGCAGAAACTGAGCTAACTGTTGTTGGGGAAGGTGAGAGTGGGAAACGACCAGGATCAGATGAGGTAAGACTTTAATGGATGCTAATTTCCTCATATTTCTTCTGCTCATCTTGTGCCAAGTTTCTCTCTGGGAGTGATGCTCCTGGTCTGAACTTCACCTGATGGTGTTATTTATCCGGGGAGGGTCCAGCTGCAATTGCAGCAGAGAGGAGAACCCTAGTTGCGTGGCACTCCTGGTGTCCCCCTGCCACCCACTGGGCCAGCAATTCGGACTGCAGTGGAACGCTTCCCCTCTACTCTGCTTTGTTTCCTCTTCTCTGCTGTACTTGTGACTGTACCCTCGCTGGTGACTTGCCTGGAAGGAGTCCCTCCACCCCCTCTAGATCTGTAAGTAACTATAATAAGTAAGCTGCTTTCTCAAGTCAAGGGAACAACCACCGGCCAATGATGCACAGGACCGCTCAGAAGCAAACAGTGCTCACAGCCTTCCTTGCCATTCAGTTTCTGGTTCTGCATTTGGCATCTGACACTGCCTGGTAGCTGTCTCTACTCAACCGTGCAGCCTTCTCCTTGCTCTTTCAAGTTGAACAGGAGTGTGGCACTCCTGTGGTTGGTTCTTCCCGAGGGGTGTATTCTCAACAGACATCCTGGGAAATCTTTTCCTGTATAGGATGCGGTCTAGCAATTAGCTGCCCTAATAAGACTGTAGGGTAATTCTAAATGTGTTACTCTTAAAGGGTTTTTCTCAAAGTCCCTTTGTGTGGGAAATAGTCTATTGTGCCTGCACAGCAAAATGGGTTACATAGATTCCAGCATGGTATTCACTATAGGGAGAGGCCTGCAGGGTGCTGCAAAGTTTCATATTCTCAGAAGACAGTGGCTGCTTGGAAGTGTAATGCTGCCACAGGAATTGATGGGTTTGGTTTTCTTCTGTCCCTTCTCCAGGATATGGAAAGTCCTGCAACAAAGCGCCTACGAACAGTGGCAAAATCTTCTATTCTGTCCCAGCCAGAAAGCAAAAGTGTTGGTCCAACAAAGAAGAAGGTGACATTTGATCCAAACTTATCACAGTGTGATAAAGAAGGAACCAGCAGGACCGTACAGCCAGTGACCAAAGGCATGTCCCTCAAAGAGACAGCAGACATCGTTGTCAAATATTTGACCCCATTCTACAAGGGTGGCAAATTTGCTTCCAAGGTAGGGCACAGCTCAAGACCCTCTTTAGCAGAAGGAGACTGCATCTCCCTAGTGATCTGGGGCTCTAAGGAGGGGAAGATGGTCTGGATACCACATTTCATTTCCAAGTCACATCTTGGTATGTGCTGTTTTAGTGACTCTAGGTGCAGCAACTCACCTCTCCCAAGAAAGGCTTTGTGTGTGATTTAGAGTGGTATCACGTTGGTTCCACACTTGTTTGTGATTGTTCATGTTTTCACACTAAACTCTGGCACGTTTTTAAGAACTTCCACCTGTGGAGTGGCAATAGATCAGGTTCAGTTCTGATGTAGTTTACATGATGTGTTCTGCAAGGCAGCATGTGCATGCATGTGTTTCTCCAGCACTACAGGGTCAGGTGTATTTACAGGTTTTCAACACTCCCGTAGTCTAAATCTGTGAATGGTTTGTGCTACAGCCAGCCTGTGCTAAGGGCAGGACAAATATGGAAACAGTCTGGTGAGGTAACTAATGTCTGCTTTCTGCTCTTTATCTTCCCCAATTCTGCAGGATCTGTTTAAGGGCTTTGCTCGGCACCTGTCTCACTTACTGACTGAAGAGCAGAACCCTGCCCGCAAGACTGGTGAGTTGGCAGCTGGGGAGAGCACCAAGAATCTTGGGTTCTTTTGATGCTAAATGGATTGATGTCTTCAGAGGGGGCAGAGGGCTTAAGTATTATCTCAAAGGTGGTGCTTCCTCTCTTGCAGTGAAGGAGGAAGCACAGAGACTCATCAAGGAGTTCTTCAAAACAAGGGTCAGGTGTGAGAGTGAGACAGACTGGCAGGAGCTGCAGAGCTCAGAACGCTGATCCTTGCAGCATGTTGGCTGTCTTCCTTCCTCCAGCAGTGCGACCAGGGGATCCTGAAGAATTCAGCCATGGTGGGCTTCATGAAATTGCAGATGTGAGCTTTCTTTTCCCACTGTGTTGTTGCTCACTTCTGTCCTTAGTGATGCGCACTTCCAGGAAACCCTTTTCTGTGAACTTGCGGAGAGTTTCTCCAGTAACTAGGGCGCTGAAGCCCTCTTGTCCCTCTTGCCGAGAGGTGTGAAGTCTGCATCTGCTGTGTAGGTTAGGGGCTGCTGCCTCAGATGTTCTGCAGCGACTCCAACCTCTACTCCCTGCAGCAGTCTGGGAAGGGCTCAAACTTTCCAACAGGGACTCTGCTTTGGGATGGCATCTTGCTTCCTAGATGGCTCCTCCCCTCACTCCCCCATCTCTTAGTTCTTATTTCAGTGTTACCAATAGAAGCCTTATGCTACAAGTTCACCTGCTTTGCTCAGGGCTGCCAATGATGAACTTGATGGTTGAGTTCCTGGATGGAATGTTTTCCCTTGAAGGGCAGGAGGGGAGCATTTTGTTTTTACCGTGCAGGCAATGCCTACTTTCTCAAAGTGGAGAAGCTCAGATTCTTTTTCTTTTAATTTGAACTTTTTTTTAACTTTGTCTAGTTCTGCCTGCCCTTTGACTTAAGCGGTGATGTTCTTTCAGTATTAACCTCTCCAATAGTGGCACCAAGGTTGCCAACACTGTTCCAGCATTTGCTTGTAACCCCTAAAGCCATATTCGCTCCCTGTGCCTCACCCACAGTCTGCAATACAGAGGGCAATGCTGCTGTTACAACTGGTTAAGGTACTGCTGTGGCCCTCAAATTGACACTGTGGTGCCTCTGCTGCTATATTTATGTCAGGACCTGAACCTTAGGGTATCAGTGGGCTTGAAATAACCCGATTCCCTGGCACAAGTCGTTTTTGTTGGGTTCTGCCTTTGTTCCATGCCTATAGAGACTGGTGGCCTCAAGCACTAGTGCTGCTAGAGGAATCTGCAGCCTGAGAGGCCATCAAACAGGCTTTTGGATCACTGTACTCAACAGGTGTGGTGGTTTGGTTTTTTTAAATGTACTGAAGGGTATGTGCGGAACTGACAATAAAACAATGTTACAGCTGCTGTGGACTCTTCCTGGAAGCTTTGTCTTACGATTTTAAGGTACATTAAGACTCCATCACTGTGAACGTAGACATGAAAGCTCATTTCTTATCTGAACACACAGCTAATAAATGCAGGCCTGGGATGGGATGGATGGGAAGCATGTGCCAGCAGACACCTCCAACCCTTTATAACTGCAGGACTTCTCCAGCTAGAACCAAAAGGAGAACCTGGAAATGTTGAACTCAAAAGTCACCTTCAGCTTGCTCTGCTCACTGGAGGACAAAGGGCTTTACAAGAAGCCTTTTACACAATAGAAGTATTTTTCAGTTGTTGCCTGCTGGCTTCTATTTTACCTTCCCATTAAAAATCCAGTTTCATTGGCCACTTAAGTGGGGTTACTATGTCTCCGGAGTCCAGTGCTTGTAGAGTTCAGCTGCTGCCTGGGTGAACTTCTCAGAAATGCTTTGTGTATCTCATAAATCTGGGGGCTTCCAAAAGGGCTGGTTAAGGCCTGGGTTGTGTGACAAAGTGCCTTACTACAACATGGGGCATTTCTAACCAGATGAGTTGTGCTTCTATGTAA